CGTTCTTTGCTACGTTTTCTTGGAACGTTGGGATAGAGGAGAATTTTGAAGGACATTTATCAGAGTTAATTTACAGACTATGTTGAATTTAAAAAAAAAAGTCTTCCTTTTCTGTCCAAACTGAAGCAAAATTTCAATGAGAACGAAGGAAAGGAGAATGACGTGTATTTACTGAAAAATCTTTTTTTCTTTTTTAAAAAAAGGCCTCAAATTTTTCCACGAATGTTCTTTGTTCCAAAGAAGACTCTGGTTTCCATGTTTTCGCACATCAAGCATGTTCGACGAAAACCATCGAAAACATCCTCTCGATCTTCTTCGAGTAGTATCCACAATGCCAAATTTCGAAAACAAACGGAGCGAGTTCGCGGAATCGCTCGGCTGCCGGACAAGCGTCTGCGATTCGTTTTTAAAAGAAAGACAATCTCGTGTTTGCGTTCGTTCACGGATCGATTTGGTCGGCCTCGAGGACGATTTCCTCGGGTCGCCGTGTAACCGGGGAACAAATTGAACGGCGGCCGAAACAATCTGCCGTGAAACACGAGCGGTGCGTAATCCAGTTAGCGAAGTCGGTCGAACCGTTCACGAACGCTCGGAAACGCTCGCTCGCTCGCTCGCTCCTCGAGCCAGCTGCCGGCCGCCATAATTGCCAGCGTTAATTTCGCTCCGTTTCCTAGTAGCGAGAGGCGTCGATAGGTCTCGCGAGAAATCCGCCGTTCGATCGAATCTTCACACGCGACAATTTTTGTCTCAACTTTCACCTCGAGATCTTCTGCAGCAAGTGTCTTCGAACTACGAGGCGATCGGCAGTTTCAATTCTTTGAATTTGATGGAGAAAGATCCTTGATCCGGCGTTATAATGATCGATGACGTTGCTGCAGCGTCACTTGACTTTTTTCAGCGGTTAGTCACCATCGAGAAATGTTCGTTCAAAGTGCGCACATAAGGGGCGAAAAATTTCTGATCGATGAAAACACAATTCCATTAGCGGTAGAACGATCAATGTGATTTTCAGCGGTTTCGACAACTGTTGGAGAAATGAATTATTCGATTCTTTCTCGCAAGGAAACTGCGAAATCGGAGATTCTGTTTTTAAAGGGATTGCGAGTCGTTTAAATTTAAATTTAAAAAGAAAAGCTATCCGATAGCGCGGAGATTGGCAAGATTCGGTAGAATGTGGAAATAGTAAAATGGTGGCTGCGTCAGCTTTCGGATCAGCGGGAGAACACGTGGTACGAAACTCGCGTACGATTACTAAGAGAGCCACGCGTGACAGGATGAAATCTCGTGAATCGTCACGCGCGGCGTATCGAAGGACACGAGCGTACACCTACATCGTCGTCGTTATTGCGAATAATAGCATGGCGGAAGTACGAGCAATTAAATGATGTACTCGGAGTAATCAAGCCGGTACTTCGCTCGTTGATCATCAGTCTGCTCGCGTATTTTATTCGCGATTGGAATATTTGTATTTCGAATTACTCTTTCTCCATTATCGAATTACTATCTCTTCAATATGACACTTAAAAGAAAAAAATATTAGAAACTATTTCAAGTAATGCTCATGCTTGTCGCTAAGCTAATGGAACATTAGCGCATCGTTCGAGCAAATTGCCAGCGTTACGTAAATATTTAATTGCAGAGAACGAAGTCGGGGAAACCGAGCGGCTGCACATTTCTAAAACGGTTGTGTTCCGCTGAATCTTTAGCTTTCAATGAGTCCCCTAACTCAGTTTGACAAAACCGATTCAATTAACCTGTGTCTGTTTTCTATCGAGCTACGCGTGCACGCGACGCGATAGGAAATTTTCTTCTCGTCCGGTCAGTCAAATTAATCGATCCGCCGGGGCAGCAAACTTTTCGCCGAATTAATTGCAAGGCGGCTGTTCTCGCAAGAAGAGAACCCGTCGTTTAGCTGTTAAACGTCGCTGGACGCGTGCCGACGTCGCTCGGCTCGTCCGCGTGTAATTGAAGGCTAATTGGAAAGCGGAGTGCTGGTAATTTACCGTTTATCCGAGACGAGTGCGCGACGATGCGTCCGCTGTACTGTCTAAGTTCGCGCACGCGATGTCTATCTCTAGCGATGTCTCCATTTTTTTCTTCTTCTTTTTTCTTGTTCTTTTTTCCTCTCTTTCTCTTTACAGTTCCATCCGCTCACGACATCCGCGCTCAGACGTGCGCGCGATCTAGTTCCACACAACGGAGAGGGTTCTCCCGCGCGAGAATGGTTGCCGGCTCCGGGTCGAACGGTCGTTCGGACAATCGTAGCGAGTTGCCCTCGGGATTTGGGTCAAACTACGCCCAGAAGCAAATCCTCCGCAATTCCTGGTACCTTGAACCCGTCCGCTGCCGCGTGAAACGCGTAATCGCAGTTCGAACGTCGGACGAGATTTCCCATCGTCGCAGCAAAGTATTACACCGAGTGTTACAAGTTTATTTACCGTAATTTAACCACGATTAACAATTAACCTCGTCTAACGATATGAAAATCGTGGGCACATGTCTCAATCTCGCCATTTTGTCCGTGCAAATGGAGATGAAGGTCATCAAGGTTTCGAGCAAGAAAGACTGAAAGACAAGCTCGAGACCGTCTGTAATGTCAACGAAATTTACGCCATATATTTTCCCTCCGCGCGATTTCATTAAGCCCGATGATTGAGAATCGCCTGTAGAAAGTTAGCAACGTGATTCTCCGTCAGTACGAGCACGTCATGACGATCATAGTACCATTTTTAGTCAATAGTCGTTTGTCCTTTGCGATCAGTCCTTCTGTTTTTTTTTTTTTTTTGCCTTTGATTCTTTTCGAGAAGAACGAACGTGAACGAAGGCGGCTGGCTTGGTGCCCGCAAGCTAGAAAGCGGTATGTAAAGTCGCGAGCGTGATCTGCGAACGAGATTACTCGCGCGTCTCTCGAAATCTGCCGGCAGCTAGTCGCTTCTCGCCATTGGAATTAATTGTCGAAACTTTGTTGGTTAACGAACACTTGTCGCTCGACAGCAAGTCGAGTGCTATACTAAACAGCCGTGTCGTTCACTCTGGCGATCTTGCTCGCGCAACATCGATCGTGGAACGTATATATTCGTGCTTCGCCATTGGCTAGATCAATACGGAGAAGGATCGCCTCGGGCGGATTTTATGCTCGCGGAGGCGTAAGTTGGCATTCAGGTTAGCCGTCACGGTTAGCGTTTCGAATCGTTCACCAAGAAATCGGTGGCGACGAGCGGTTTCTTTCGAATCCACGATCATCGACGCTGACGACTCGATAAAGTATACAACGAGATTTTAACATTTTTCAGCCGCGAACATTGGCAAGCTGAGTTACTGTTTAGCACAGACTGAAATTCCAATATTATAATATAATTCGAATTTCCTGCTGATCCTCATGACCCGCGATAATCGAGAAACATTGAAATCGCTAACGAGCATTGAAATAATCTAACGACGATGAAGCAATCGGTCGCGAGGGCAGATAACGAACGCCGGAAATGCGTCGAAACAGCGAAGCCGATTTTACAGGTTCCGGCGCGTTAATGATTTTTCAGCTGCGATCTCGATATCGTTCCTCAGTTTACACTTTCACCTGGCCGCAATTTCCCGTACAAATGACCGGTTATTAAATTCTCGATAGTATTAATTAACACGAGCATGAGGTTCTCTCGCTGGTGCTTGTTCCGCACGAAGAGGAAACAAAGAAAAAAAAAAAAGTAAAAGCGGAAGATCGTTTTCCGTGCGTTGATCGGTCGAGTCGAGCCTCGCGGAATAACGCTTCCACTCGCGTATCCAAACGCGATAGCGTACTGCGTGCTTTACGTAAGTACGACGCTGCTGAACAGTTACGAAACGGTCATTAAACCTCGCTTAGCTCCGCGCTTAGTTCCTCCCTAAACAAATCAATGCAATTTATCCCCCTTGGCGGGCGGAACGCTCGGAAGCAGCCAGGCTTAGGTGCATAATTTCGCCTGTTCGCGGCGGACCCCGGCGAACGACCGGTTGCCGATCGTGACTGTTTCGTAAGACACACCTGCGAGTCATTATCCTTTGCCTACCTTGGCTTTCCCCGGCAAT